CCCCTCCCCCTCTCCCCTTGTCCTTTACCTAAATGAAGTCATGACTTGCGGATAGTGAGCACTCTGCCATATAACTGAGTAACGAAGTGAACTGCCCTTTTTCTCTTTCCCTGAAAATTCACTCAGTATTTGGAGCAAAACACCTAAGAGGAGAGATTCTTTCCAGACCTTAAGAATAAAAACCCTTTTTGATCTGGCTCTTTCTTGCACATTCTGTCTAATGCAAAGGGCATCAGCTGCCTCTGCCTGAGCCAGAGTTCCCCTCTGAGTTTTCTTTCTCAGAATCACCAGAAAAGATATGTTCTTTCCACCCACAGTCCTTATTGGAGATGAAAGAGTTAAGAAGAACTGGTAAGAAGCTGACCAAGTTTGAAGTCCTGAGAGGAAAAGTTGTGAACTTCATTGACAGTCTGGTGAGGTGAGTCTGTTGCTCTTAAGAGCTAAAAGTCAGGCTCTTTTCCCAAATAGCACTGGTGTGACAGCTGTCTGTAGCCATCCTGGGACACTTTCCCCTAGATCAGACTTTATGCTTTTCAGATCCCTCCTTCCAGCTTAGAATTGTAATTCGGATTGTCTTTCCATCCTTACGAAGATCAACAGGATTTAGTTCATGCTCTTCCTGCCAGTCAAGAATAAGGGTTAAGTTTGACCTTGTTCATTAGGCTGGGGTGGGGGTGGGAGCAGGAAGTGCTTTTCCCTTTCTAATAGCACAGTGTGTGCATTGCACTACATTCTTTCTCTGTCTTTGCTAGGAGTATGCTGGACCTGGGCCAAGTCCCGAAAACAGAGCAGACTAGCTGTAATGTCCTATTTTATTCTGAGTAAAGACTTCTAATTCTAAAGAATGCTTGTGCAACTCATTATCAGCACTAAATTCATGTTGAGAAGTGTACTCATAGTAAACTTAGAAGTCTACCAGTCCTGCCTGTATTTTAAGATGATTCCTTTTTGGGAAAACCCCGATCATTGCTATAGAAAAACATGAAAAGTGTGAAAAATAAAATGATTTAATAGTTAAAAAGTAGGAAAAAAACCTTATTTATCACTGCTTATTATTTTTTTAATGGCAGTTGAAACTCAACAGCCAGGTAGGCACTGAAAAGAGCAGCTGAGTTATTGAAGACAAAGAGTGGTTTTCTGATAAATTACCTCACCTTCTTGAAAGTGAAAAGTTCCATTTTCCAGGACAGTGTTGGCACAGATTCACTGTTCCTAGTTGTTGGGGAGAAATTACACTAATATCGTGAAAGAGGTCCAAATGATCAACCAAGTATGACAAAGGCAGGTTACAGTGAAAGAAATATTTCATATAAAAGTGATGCAATGCAATATTGAACTGACCTACAAGCCAGAAATGTGACCTTATGGAACTCGTAGAGTTAATCTTGCCCTACTGGCTTTCCTGTTCCTGGCTCTTCCTTTTACCAGGTTGTGACCATTGTAGTTGCTAAAAATAATTTTGCAATGTAATGTATCATAATTTCTAAGCCAGATGTCAAGTTCCCTTTTGAGTTCTCACAAATCCCAAATTGTAGGCTCTGAAAGCAAACAATTTCTCTTTTGTGATCTTTGACCTGATTGTCTGACTTTGTATGTTTCTGAGTATTTACTGAAATAAAGCTGAGCACAATTGAAGTATGTTGTGAAATCACAAAATTTTCCATACTAGGATTCCTTCTCCTAGGAGGGAAGAGATTAGGATTTGTAGCATATTAGAGCTAAAAGGAATTCACTCAGAGTCATGTGGCAGCTAAAGCCCAGAGAGAGGCTGACTGTGGAGAGTCCCAGTCCCAGTATGCTGACTTCTGTCAAAAGGCCCTCTCCATTTATCCATACTGTCCCCAAGGATCACTCACATCACAGATGTTTGAACAGAAGTTGGAGTTCTGGAGAAATGCAAAGGAAGATGACCTAGAGCTGTGTAAACAAGCAATATGCAAACAGACGTGAAACTCTTTACTGAGCTGCAAGTTAAAAGGAAGAAGAGAGAAGCGAAAGGGGTGCATGAAAGGAAGTGACAAAGGGAGGAAAAGACTGAAGCTCAAAAAGCCAAATGGGACAGAGTGGCAGAAAAAGTTTGAGGAAAGTCGAGGTGGCCATGTGGACAGCTGGGCAACCTCCAAGCAAATAAAAAGGGGAAGAAGAAAAATGGGACCTTCCTGAAACCACCAAAAGTAAAAATGAAGCAGCATTGAGTAATCACCTGGGGTCACAGCCACAGAACCTTCCCCCAACTGGCTCCCCTCCTACTTTGAAGGACTCATTCTTACCTCCCATTTCTACCCCAGCATAGAATAGTAGTTGCTTTTAGTCTATTTTTGTTTTCAATTCAATTTTGTATCAATATGAGTTGACTGAGTTAGTGACTTCTTATTCTGCCTTTGGTTAGTGTGTGCTAAAGCTTCTCCCTTCCAGGCCACCAAAGAGCAACGTCACTGTCATGGCTGAGGCCAGCTGATGGGCTCATTATACATTCAAAGTGAATTTTTAAAAATTGATTTTAGAGGGAGAGGAAAGGAAAGGGGGAGAGAAACATTGATGTGAAGGAAAAATTGATCAGTTGCCTCCCATACGCACCCCCACCAGGGATCGAACCTGCAACCTTGGGTATGTGCCCTGACCAGGAATCAGACCGGCAACCCTTTGGTGCACTGGATGATGCTCAGTGGAGCTACGCTGGCTGGATTGAAAGTGAATTTTTTAATGCTTTATTTTTTAAGTTCAGATCTACAGTTGGCTTGTCATAAATAAGAGAACAGTCACGTTACATTCTTTTTAATAATTGAAATTTTAATGATGAACAATTTGCTTGTTTTTCAGTACTCTGATGGCAAAATTTAGCCTTTTCTGCTTTCTAAAGTAAAAAGTAATTCTAACATGTAAAAAACTTTCCAGGTATCATTTCTATGAGAGATATCAATTAAAAAATTTTGTGTGATCGAAAAAGAATTTTTTAAACTCTTAATTCCAGGCCTGAAGCCTGTTTAATGTTGCAGGAGTTAAATGTTTGCTCTGGCAAGGAATGTGGATATCTCAGTTTTCTAAACAATTTAAGAAAGTGTTCCTTAATACTTTAAGAAATTCTACTTTAAAGATTTTGAGCAGAAGTATAATTTATGTACACTTGTTCCTAAAGATTTAAATCAGAACAAATATAGTTTCTTGTATCCTAATGAATTCTGGAAGTTTTAAAAAATACATGGAAGAGGTACTATTCTGAGTGAAGCTGCACTGAATTTGATATTTGGGTTTGTTTCATTTGTTGGTTTTTGGTTTTTGTCAGTTTTGTTCTTTAAACAAATTGCTCAGTCTTCCCCCAAGGATTCACAAAAACGTTATATTGAAATTAAACCTGTGCCTGTCTAAAAGTGGATACCTGACTTGGGCTGTTTCAGAGAATACCTTCTGCCTCCAGAGACACAGCCTCTGCATGAGGTGGTTTACTTCACGGCCGCCCACACCCTTCACGAGCACCTGAGTGCTGCTCCGCGGATGGCCCTCCACACCGCACTCAACAACCCTTACTATTATCTCAAGGTGAGGAGCAGATTCACCTGACAGGGTAGGTCAGACCCCAGGCATTATTCATCACAAAAATACTGCAAGTTTACAGTTCCTAGGGACCAGGGAGTTAGTTGGCCCTTCAGGGTTGTGCCTCTTTCAGATACTTTAAAAATCCTTTAGACTTCAGAAGGCGTTTTCTAAGCTAGAAAAAATAATCAATAGTCAACTAATGCTACCAACTTTGGATCATGCGTAAATGTCTTCCCCTTCGTGTGATAAAACTACAGGCACTAAAACTTGAGTATACTGCTGCTAGTCTTGTGAAATAAAGGAAATGTTTCCAACAATAACAGCAAATAATGGCTCAGACTTATATGGCCTAATAAAATTACTTAGAAATACTTTGGGATTTCATCTTGGATTTTAAACCAAAAAAAAACATCTACTCAGAGAGTATCTCCAGAGCTGCATGTAGATGATGGCTAGCAACCTGCTAGGGATAAAACTGCCAAAAACCAGACACATTTGATAGTTCTAATAAATTGTTCTTTAAACTGAGAGTACAAGACAGTTCAGGATTTTCTTATAGCCAGGTAAAGTGATCACTTACAACATTCCAGTAAGCTATATTCTGGTAAGTTACATACATATATAAAAATAGTTCGTTGATAATTTGTCAATAAGTTAATATTAATTTATTAGTTATCAACTCAGCTAAGCACCTAGTAATCTTGCCACAAAGGACACCTAAGAAGCGACTCCATGAAACCTATGAAGAGTGTCCTTATGTACTAGTTTCCTGTTCCAAAGTGGCACATAAGCATGCTAAAGTATTACAAGAGAATCCTGTGCAGGAAGATATAAATCAGTGGTTTTCAGTGATGGTGAGTAGTGGGGAGCTTAATTTCATAGAGCACAAAACATCAATTATTTTTATTATATAAAGCACACATTAAAACTCTTACAAAATCTTCTGGCTTAATGGTAGGTCACAGAAAAGAACTGGTGATTTCAGCAGTCTTTGGGAGTATTACAATCTCCATGGCTAAGTGTATGTGTGAAAGAGATTTCCTCAGAATGAACCATGGATTTCAAATAAATTGAAAAACACTGATGGTTTTTGTAGGGGTTAGGATCTGCAGCGTTGACAAGTCTGTCTTTGGGAATAGCCTTGATAGTGGTGCGTTGGTATTAATAGTATATTAACTGCTAGAATTCAAGTAATTTCAAATGTTCAAGTGGCAATTTGTCGAAAATCCACAAAGAATTCCATCAACTTTTTGTGAAAAGTTGAAACCAAAAATGCATCAGGGTCTCAGAAATTAGTAATGTATTACCAAAATGAAAAAAAAATTACAAATAAGATGAAAAATATGTCTTCTGATCCTGGGAATACTCTTCTAGTGGCTAGGAGCTAGGGGATTATGACCAAGACTTAATCCTAAACTGTTGAAGAGTAAAGGCAACTCACTAAATGAAACGAGACTCCATTTACTAATAGCTTACTAAATTTAGGTTAGGGGGTTTATTAATGTCTGATTTTGTTCCTAATCATTTCTAAAAGATAGTCATCTTAGTTTACTGTTATTTTTAGAATGAAGCACTGAAAAGTGAAGAAGGCTGCATTCCAAATATCGCCCCAGATATCTGCATAGCATATAAACTGCACCTCGAGTGCAGCAGGCTCATCAACCTTGTGGACTGGTCCGAGGTAGGTGGGGGGAAAAGAGCAAGCTGTGTTTGTATACTATCCATGACACTTTCCTGATATGACTTTATACTTTTGGTACTTTGGAACTCATACTTTGTTTTTTTTTAACATATTGTCTTGTTTAGAAAGCATAAATCATCTCATATTTCAAAAATTCCTCCAGAATAGCAGCTAAATGCTCCACAGTCCCACTCACGATCCCCCGCACTATGATCCCACAGCCCTCAACCAAGCTAATGGTGCATTCGTGCCAGGTCAGGGTAAGAATGGGATCAAGCTGAGCAGTTTAGATCAGTTTTGTTATTCCACAAAATAAAAGTGTATTAACTAGCATTTCCCTTCTAGCATAAAAGAAAAAACACACATTGGAATAACTACACCAACAATCAGGAAGCACAAGGAATACTTGGCAAGGCCACAGACAACTGTTGTTTTTAAGTAACTATTCTTTCCCCCCTCAGAATATTACAGTTACCTCTTTTGAAGGCCCTATTTTCCAGATGTCATGGTTTAAAAATATTCATAATTGGCTGGTTCCAAGAAAAATAAGCATTTTCCTGGAGGTTGGGGAGTATAGGATACAAGGCATTCTCCGTTTTTCAACTTCGACTAGTTTTTTTCCTGCACATTTCTTCTCTGAAAAAAGATTCAGGAACCACTTTATTATCTTCTAATGTGTACCTGATTTAAAGTGATCATCAGTATAGTTTTGAGAATCTGAAATTTGGTGTAATTTTTTAAAATGTGCCAGTTAGCAGCAGCAGTGCTTGACCTGGCTTCATGTAGAGCCATCAAGGGCAATTACAGATGTTGGCAACAGTAGAGGTTTTTATTTTCTTCTGTCTTGTCTCTCAAAAGGCTTTTGCAACAGTTGTAACAGCTGCTGAAAAAATGGATGCCAATTCTATAACCTCAGAAGAAAGGAATGAAATTATCCAGTATCCTTTTAAAACCATTTCTACAGTGTCCAAGTATATGTACAGAATGTTTGTAATTTTTCCAGATCTACATTAGAGATTTATAAAGATGTGGTGCTACCAACCCTATTGGTAATATTAACCATACCATCCCAGAATGATGTTTCTAAACATTTAATCTGAATTTAATCTGAGATCAAATCCAAAATATTTGGTTTAAAATTTATAGCAAGGTCATATTCCAAAATTCACCAAAAATATCCAAAACTGTCATTATTGAATTCTCTATTTGTATAAGGTTATTAATATACTTATTAGGAGTGGGGGTGGGGGACACAATTTTCATACTATGGAAAGAATTAGGTAAACATTAAGCATTTTTCCACACGCCTGACTAGATTCTAATTACTATTAATGTTTTCCCATAAGGGTTACTGTTTAACTTAGGAGTATATATTTGAACTATATTTCAGTTTACCAATGTTTTAACATAATTTCCTTAACTATACCCTCCAGTGCTCGGTTTATTAGAGCTGTTTCTGAACTAGAACTTCTAGGATTTGTAAAACCTACCAAACGGAAGACTGACCACGTGGCAAGGCTAACATGGGGAGGCTGCTAGAAAGCAAATGAATGAAGCCAGAAGGACCCCACTTAGCTTAAGAGAAAAGGGAGGCCAGTCATAAATAGATACTACTAAAGGAAGACAAATGTGTAATCCCCATGTGATGTTTAACCAGAAAGTAGACTGTTAATCCCAGACAGGAATGTTTCAGAACACCTTTGGAGTCCTTTAGAAGCCAACAAATAAGATGCTTATATTGCAGCTAAAACCTCTCTCACATTGTCACTGTAATCTTCATGTCATTAATAAACTGTTCTTGAACATAGTATATAAATGTAATAAATCTCTTTACTCAGGATTATAAAGTATTTGCAATTGATTTAATAGTACTCATTCCTGCTCCAAAAGACATTTTGGGGACAAATGGGAGAATCTGAGTATGGACTGGATGTTAAATTAGGGAAGTATTATTTTAAGTGGGATAATGGTTTCTAGTTATATAGAAGTACTACCTTATTCTTAGTAGCTACAGAACATATGTTCTTTGAAATAAAGTATAAACACAAAGTAAATATGGTACAATATCTGTTCACTTTAAGTGTACTGAACTGTTGTTTTTGTTTGAATGTTTTCCAAATAAAATGGAAAAAAAATTCTTGAGTTTTGCTCTAAAGGCTATATAGAGCAGAAAAATAGGGTAGTAGAGCTAGAGGAGGATTATAGGATCAAAAGATTTTTAACCGCATGTTTATTATGCTTATGGGGATGATAGAGGAGACCAAAAAAAAAATGGATGCAGGAAAGAGGACTGCTGGAACTGTCTTTGAATGAGAAATTTGGATCTAATTTTTAACTAGGGCAAATGCACGTGCAGAGCTTTATTGGAGCCATGTCCAAGTAGACAGGGACAGGATATTAGGTGCTTAGCAGATATTCACTTAATACCAATTACTGTATAATTTTGAAGGGAGTAGATAACCCAAGTAAGAATCACTACCAACCCTAAGTTTGTGGTCACCTAGGGAGCGTATTAAACAGATTCCAACAGTCCTCCCCCATACCCCCATCTTCTAAAAGTCTCTGGGGCTAGAACATGGGATTTTTCCTAGAAGTTCTCCAGTTAATAATGCTGATGCAATAAATGTCTCATTTGGAAATTATTTTCTTTAGCAATATAAGTTCTTACCATAGGCCAAAGATAGCTTTGACATCTTAAACTTCCAAGATGTTTTTCTCAGATTGCCTATGCCCTATTTTTCCTCAAAAAATACAAAGAATTATACCTGGCAGTTTGCCCCGGTAAATCAGAAATTTATTGAACACATTAAGTACAGCATCATACCAGTACTGCCCTTTATAAAAGAATAAGATGACTGTTAGCACACTCAATTATGTAGGTGTTTACCTATTAAAAGCAATTCCAAGGATCTTTGGGAATTCAGAATCCCTAGGTACTTATATAATCTTTCTTACTGAGATCAAGTGTGGATGGTATTTGGACTACTGCAGTCAGCTACTGGGTCCATCTAATTGTAACTAAATCCAAGAAGTTGCCCACATTTTTTCCTTTTCTTTTCTGGAAATGCCTCATATACTACTTGAAATCAGTTAGAAGCTCATGAACTAGGACTTTTTGGTAAGGTGATAAAAGCAGAAATTTGGCTGTGGAGGAAATTTTATTCTCAGTCAAGTTCAATCTAGAATTAAAACTGTATTATAGGCACACCTTGTTTTACTGCACTTTGCAGATACTGTTTTCACCAACAGAGAGGCAACACCCTCCACCAGGAAAAATCAGTACAACTCACTGAAGGTTCAGATGATGGTTAGCATTTTTAACAATAAAGTTTTTAAAATAAGGCATGTACATTGGTTTGTGTAAATACAACTTTTATATGTACTGGGAGATAAAAATTTATGTAACTGACTATTATGTTTGCTTTATTGGAACCAAACCTGCAACACCTTTGAGGTATGCCTGTACTTGTGGCTCCATTCAGATTTCCCTTTTACTCTATCTTGCCCTCCAACTACAAAACCAAGTGTCACCCCAATAAATTTAATAAAAATAAAACCAGTTATTTTTATAAATTTAAATCTATGTGAAAATTCGCACATGCTTATTTAAAAGAATGTTCATTATTTTGATAAAACACAGTCACTCTACTCCTGACTCCAGATTCTAACATCACTTGCACTCCTAAAAATGCTATTCCACTATATCCTTGTTTCTCGGCTAGGGACTGTTTTCTCCACCTATCCCAGCATTTGGCAGTATCTTGAGGTACATTTTAGTTGGCACAACTGGGGGTGGGGGGAGTGCTACTGGCATCTAGTGGTAGAGGCCAGAGATGCTGCTCAACGCCCTACACTGCACAGGACAACCCCACAAGAATGATCTGGCTCAAATCGCCAAGTGTTGCAGTTGAGATTCTCTGTGTTAGTCCATTCAAACCAGGTAGAATCATCCCCCTTCCTTACTTATGGCCACCCTATGTTATATCTACATTTCTCAAACATTTAATGGACATGTGAATTATTTGAAGATCTTCTGAAAGCCCTATACCTCATTTTAAACAAAGACTTGGTAAAATATAAATAATCACCAAAGTTTTTAAAAAGGAAAAAACCCTTTGCTTTCTTCAACCAATTCGGTCAATTATAAATATATATACATGTAAATTCACTGAAGCATTTCCACTTACTTCATTATAGGAAAGCTTTGTTTGAAAAGCATGTATTGAAAGTGACTTTAATGCGCTTTCATACATTGTCCTTAAAAACCACACAAAATAAAAACTTGGATTCAACTGATATCTTTGAAGTAAAACTTCCAAAGCTGTTAAAACTGACCAATTCTGTAACATTCTATCATGCAATTTGGAATCAGACTCAGTTTTTGAAAATAAGACTCAAATCTTAGATTTGGTAAATCAAATTATTGATTTTTAAATCTTATCAGAACATTAAATTAACTGATTCCTGGAAAATGCTTACATTTAAAACACTGGCTTTATTCAAATACTACCCATCTGTACATTAAAAAACAAGCAGATTAGAAGTAAATGTTTTATTCCAACTAAATTCCAGTACTACAAGGGCAATAAAACAATGATACACTGGGGGG